ATACAAGGACCAAGATCTGTGTATAGACCATAGTGTCTACATCAATGGGCAGTGCACATGCAACTGTTTGGAGAGCAATGCAAACTACTGAATACAAATTTGTCTGATAAAATCACAAACGGCAACAAATAATGGGGAAAAGCACAAATGGCCAACAAATACTGGGGAAAAGCACAAATGGCCAACAAATAATGGGGAAAGCACAAACGGCTAACAAATACTGGGGAAAAGCACAAATAAGTAAAAAAGTAAAGGACCCTTTCCACGCCTTTAGGCATATAGGGCATATAGGGCTAGACCTATATTTATATAGACCAACGGCACAAGATGGGTGATGTGGTCAGCATCACGCCGGCCACCTCTACTTCCCGGGATTGCACCCGGTACCCACTCAAGGCTGGGTCGACCTGGGAGCCAAGGTCATTTTTGAAGAAAAGTCCGTCTCCGCCAGGGAGCGAACCCACGACCTTCCGATCCGCGGCGCGCGTCTAGCCGCTCTGCCACGGCGACTCCCAAAAGCACAAATATCCAACAAATATTGGGGGAAAGCACAAACGGCCAACAAATACTGGGGATAGTTTGTGACATCCTGAGAAAATAATTTTGCCACTTCTGGAGATTGACCACCAGATCACTGTCTCGGCAAGCTGGGGCACATAACAGTATCAATGATTATATGAGTAGTACTGTACAACAGCATATTACATGAGAATAGCAGACTACAAGGCAAGAGGGTGACCAAGAAACAGATGGGTTGATGGAGTAAAGGAGACACAATATGACAATAACACAAGCTACGCCACTAGCAAAAGACAGGAAATTACACATCTCTGTGAGACTGCTGCAAAAGCAGTAGGACAAAAGTACTGTACCATAGTTCTTTGTGTTTCGTCATGTAATCTTCATACAGAACAGAATGAATGATCACATAAAATATTCCGTATTGTACCACCTGCACATATTCTGTGTAATCTACAAATGTAATACCATCAGTCAGTACAAGCACAAGGCCAGTACAAGTGCTTGTTGGAACACTGATGTCACAAAATATATCTTTGATAAAACAAAGCCTCTCAGGATCTCTGACTTCAGCCATGCAACACACTAAGATGTCTCTGTAGTATACTATGTTCACCTGAATGTGATCCATTACTTTGATCTTGTCCGAACAAGATGCACATTTGTTTCAATAGATAATTGGTATTTATTACATTTTAATGTAATCCAAGATTGCACAATAATCTACTTCTGTATATTCAATAGCAATGTATATTTAATCCGTGTTCAATTCTGTTATATGTATATTTTGGTGTCTGATATATTTATCACTGTAACTGATAGTTGTATTGTTTGTCATTTAAAACATACTATAGACAAGCTCTTATGGAAGATGGGGGGAAGGGGGGGGGGGGGGGGGGGGGGGGGTGCAGATATGAACGCCTTTCTTCCCATATGAAAATTATGATAGAAAAATTATGTCGGATAATATTTATACTTTTTTTTTTCGTTTGACTGTCGTCTAAAACTGGTCAACCAAACAAGTTAAATTTGGTAGCCTAATAAAATATCGGAGGAGTACCAGTCAGATGGTTAGATTGCTGAGCTGTCACGTGAGAGAGCGACCTCAATCCTCACCTAAGTAACGGGCCCTTCTCCACGCCTTTAGGCATATAGGGCTAGACCTATATTTTTTAGACCAATCGGCACAAGATGGGTGATGTGGTCAGCATCACGCCAGCCGCCTGTACTTCCCTGGACTACACCTGGTACCCACTCAAGGCTGGGTCAACCTGGGAGTCAAGGTCATTTATGAAAAAAGTCCGGCTCTCAATCCTCACGTGGGCTACCTTTACTACCTAAGACATTTTGGAACCTATTTTTTAGTTGGGTGGACCAATGAACCCGAGAACTTTCTGAGCCCATATTGTTTTTGTAATAACTGTTTATTATTGAACAAAAATGACAGTCTGTTGTGTGATAACTTTCATACTTGTAGCTGCCACAAGAAGTGGGGTGAATAAAATATGACGCACAATGTTAGAATAGTATACATCATGGGAAATTCCACACCTGGGTTTTGTTTACCTGAATGTGCAGTTTTTGTCTTTGTTGTAGATGATGTACGTTAGGGGGTCATTAGCTGAATTTATGCAGTTTTTGTCTTTGTTATAAATAGTAGATGTCAGGGGTTCATTAGCTGAATATGCATAGCTTTTGTCTTTGTTGTAGTGTCTGTCATGGATTCATTAGCTGAGTGTGCAGTTTTTATCTTTGCTGTAGATGGTGTTTGTCAGGGGTTCATTAGCTGAAAATGCATAGTTTTTGTCTGTGTTTTAAATAGTGGGCGTGTCAGAGGTTCATTGGCTGAAAATGCATAGTTTTTGTCTATGTTTTAAATAGTGGATGTCAGGGGTTCATTAGCTGAAAATGCATATTTTTTTGTCTGTATTTCAAATAGTGAATGTCAGAAGTTCATTTAGCTAAATATACAGTTTTTGTCTTTGTTGTAGATGGTGCATTAAATTTACTGTGATAGACAAAATATAGTGATCTTGGTGGCAAAATACATTATCAGTTGAATATAATAACACTCAGAGTTGGCTTTATGTCTTTCTAACCCATGCATGTAAAATTATTTAAAGTAACATGGGGGGAAATGGCTCCTTTGACAGCTAAGGATTCATAGTGCAACAAAGCCTGGCATATGTTAGTCTTAGTCTTTAATCTTGGGCCTTGGGTGGAGTCTAGGATTGAGGTCATAGCTCTCCAAGTCTGGCAGTTCATTGCCATCTGCTTTAGGTCTTGGATGATAAATGGGCCCATGGTTGAGCCTTCCCTGATAATGGTTCTTCATCGTAGGGTCTCTCTTGGTCTTCCCCCTTTTCTTTTACCCTGCTGGTGTCTATATCACAGCCTGATAGCGTAGTCTTGTCTTATCCATTTTGAGTGCATGGCCGATAAGTTCCAGCAGCACTTCCTATAAAACTAGACACTTTGTCTTCTTGGTCTCTTGTCTTATTTGTGTATTGGATCTTAAGTCTGTCTAGTGGAGATTCAGTATATGATAACACAATATTTAGTTTTATTTTGGAGGTAGAGGCAGTCACTTAATATCTCGATCAGTTCTCCCATCTTTATCTACATTACTGCTCAAATAGGTGTGTGACTCCGCATCTTGGAGTGGGATACCATTAGGAAAAACCACATTACTATCTGCCTTATTTATTCTCATTATCTTTGTCTTTCCCTTATGGATTTTCAGACCTAGCTGTTGTGATCTCACATCAAGTATGTTTAATTTATCTTGCACCTGATTCCGTGAGTGGGACAGAAGAGAAACATCATCAGCAAAGTCAAGACCATCAAGCCTGAAGCGCTACTGATATAAAAAGGGTCCTTTTTAGTATCTGCAACATGTAAGATACCAAGATATTTACCGACAACAATGGACAAGGAAACAAATAACACAGTTGGAAAAAAATAGTTTAGTTTTTTTTTGCTTTATTGACTTCATATCACAAAATAATAATAATCTTTATATAACTTTAAAATATGTTGTACAGCAACAACAAACCTTGCAACACTCACCCTAAAACTGCTATGAAGGTTAGTATACAAATGGACCCTCCATGGGGAGACCCATTACCCCCTAACGAGCATGTAAAAGAGTATAATTAGCAGTATGTTAGTAATCGAATGTGCTGGGAAAAGGAGTAGACATTACATCTTAGCTTTAAACCACAAAATAGCATGGAAACTGCCTTTTTTATTGGCACTGCAGATATACATGTGGAGTGGTCATCTCACCCCTTTAAACAGTGATTGTAAGTTTTTCCCATTAAAAAAATGAAACACAAATTACTGTTGTTTTACCTTGCACAGCTCTAAGGCCATCCTAGCCTCATCAAATGAGCACCAGAGATCTTGGAAAGTTGCAGCAAATAGAGTAATTCTAACCAAATTCTTCTTAGCGTACACCGGCTGTAAACTCTGGCACAATGTTTTGTTTGCTTGTCCAGAACTCATGTTTTGAGTGCACATCCCTTTTACAGATCTGCTTATTTGTAGGCAGACTGTTGGTTCCTCACCTCTCAGGCAGATGTGCTCCGACTTCAAAAAAAAATACCTTATTAGTCCCCTTTTACTATATGCTTGATAAGGAAGGCACTGGGTCTATCCCCTCACCCCTCCTCCCCCATGGGCTGCTGAACCCACTGAGATAACAAAATTATTCAATCTCCACCTTGCAGTGAATGAAAAAACTGGACCCAACATTAACTCTTTCAGTCCCAAGGAACGCATTGTACGTTCACAGGTTCCTACCTAGAAGCCCAATAAACACAAGATGCGCCGATTATTTGTTTCTGTGTACTACCTCTTGGCCCTTTGATGCTAAACTCCCTGGGATGAAAAAGAGTTAATGAGACCAGAACCTAAGTAGCACAGTAGCTAGACGTCTGCCTGCTGACTCAAATACCTTGAGTTTGAATCTGACCTAAGATATGTTTTTTTCTAATGACCTTAGCTCCCAGGTCAACCCAGCCCTGAATGGGCATCAGAGAAGTGAATGCAGCTGGCCGTGGTCATCACATCACCCAGTGAGGGCCAACTGGCCTATAAAAATATGAGTCTCACATCATCTGCCTAATGTACCACTGGTATAAAAAAAATCCTTAACTTTTTTAAATTAGTTTTCTTTTTTTAAATGACATATTATAATAGTGTTGGTCATCTTGCATGTTGAACACAAGAAACAAACAAAGAAAGCTTTGTTTGTTCCAGGGTCACACTATATGAGAGAAAAATCTTGAGATTACCACTGTCTGGCTAAATGTATGATCCCTTAGTCTACGTAGATTGAGAAGTTCATGACAATGTGCAGCCACAAATCTTAGCAAGTCCTAATAACTTGATATAACAAGACCGTCAGATACCAGTAAATCTCATGGTAAAACAAAAGGCTATCAGTAAAACTACCACCATTTCCCCAATTTAAAAAATCAGCTAGCCTTGAAAGGTGAGTGATGGTGTTTTATTATCACCCCCAAAGGTGAACTGAGAAACCACAGGTAGAGTGAGTACAGTGATATGCGTGCAAGTTGAACATGCTGCCGAAACTTGGTCTTTATGTAACACCTCCAGTCAGAGCAACACTTGAGCTCCCATTCTGTCACAGCCTAGAGGATAGGAGATACCAAATATGATTTGTAAACCATTACAACAGGCTATAAGTCAGGGTCCTGGCTTCATCGCAAACAAGTCACCCCCACAACTGCTCCGTTTCTGTGCCAGTAAACACCACACAAAATACCCATCAATGTTTCAACTAAAAAAAAAAAAAAAAACTGAAAAAAAAAGCAGCTCTGGAAAAATGTAATAGCCTGCACAGGTATCAAATGCATAAGGCACCACCAGAGGTGCCAACACCAACAGTTTGCCTCTAGAACTGCGATATATATATATATATATATATATATATATATATATATATATATATATATATATATATATATATTATATATATATATAGTTAGTTGATGGAAGCATCAGTCACGAGAAACCAGCACTACTACATAAGAGACACTGCCAACTCTGTGGCAATAAGCCACTCACTATTTTCTGAACATGCAGTTTACAACACAAACCTCTGGAAGCACTGAAAATTAGCAATGCCTTAGGAAATCCACAGCTCACAGTGTCACACCATGCACTCAACTCAGTAGCTGGCAAATGGAACCAATGTGTTCTTCGTCTCTGTGTTCACTGGCTGTAAACTCCAGTTCAAAGTTCTGGATGTTTGTCCACCTCTGGATTTTAGTCTTGTTCCAGAACCTGAGTATTGGGTGCACATCTGTTTAACAGATCTGACTTAACTGTATGCAGACTGTTGGTTCCTTGCCTCTCAGGCAGATGCACTCTGACTTTGAAGGAGACCCCCAATTAGTCGACTCCTGTGACATGCTTGTTCGGAAACAATTTTTGTTCCTTTACCTGGTTTGTTGTCTCATCCAGTTTCCCTACTGTAGTTGAAACGCCAACCATCCACTGGATTATTGGGGATAACAGGGTCCACCATGTAAAGGTGAGGCAAGCTTGAGCAAGAGAGGCAGAGGGACATTAAAAGTCTTGTATTGTGCATGACTGCTCCATTTGGACATCACAGACGATAAAAGAGGATCTGGTCTGAAAAGGGTCCTTCGCATTTTTTTTAAAATTATTAGTAAAGAAAATTTACAGTTAATTGATGAGCAAGAACTGCTATCTGATTCATTAAGTTGTTCTCTTACTCTTAACTTTTTAAAAGCCAAGCAACTGTGTGAGAGTTATTTGAGAAGTTCCATTTTGCCCAAACAACGTTGACATTGTCCATCGTGTATCCCGTACATTTTGCTTCGCACACAGCTCCGTACTTGTTTATAATGTTCGGAAGTACGATTAAACTACTCAGGGAAAGTCACTCTGCCGAAATCCTTTCAAATACTTTCCCTATTAGAAGCCACACGTGCGTAATTTGATCAGATTTACAGCAAAATTGTTTCAATAGTGCACTTTCTAAGTTCGTTTTCGAGTGCCATGAATACCAATGTTTCCACCACAAGTACAGGTTGCAGAATGCGTCTTTCTGCGGCTGAAACTCTGAAATTGTTTTAATAAAATGTTTTTAATTCTGATAATGATAATGAAAATTTAGATTTTTCGGAAAGTGATTCAGACGGTGATTTTTCACCAGCAAAGCTGAGGGCTCAGCTGTACTGAATCTAGCGATTCTGATGAGTTTTTTTAACAGACAATGTCCCATTTCTACCGTATTTAGGGTGTAAGAGAAGGAAAGTGCTCTAAACAAAGAGATTGTACTATACTATGGCTAAGCTACATTGAAATCATCGCAGTTACAGTCTATATAACTGAACAAAGTAAATAGTCAATAGCGTGTGTGTAATGGCTCGTTTTTCGGCCATTTTTTCTCTGAAATCTTTCTCACCACTCTGTGAGAACTAAGAGCCCCTGAGTGCTAAACTAACCCAGAAATTTATCACAACTTTGGAATTTGTTAGGAAATTGAACAAACTCAGAAGTTTGTTCTCAAATTTGGATATTCATTACTCGTGTGGCTGCAAAATCATGGTAAGTGAAGAATTTGTTTGTAAAATGTTGTTGTTGTGAAATTAACACCTGCTGAATTCTTCTTTCCTACTAACTATAAACAAATTAAATATACACTTATCATCAGATTCAAAATGTATATTCATTTCTCTTTAAAAAATATATACTTCTATTAGGATTAGAAGTATATTACATTTTCTATTGCCTTGCTTGTATACCCACCCCTCTGCTATTTTTTGTAAAAGGATATTAATGTGGGCCAAGTCTGTCAAAATTCATGGGCCTAAAAGAGTTAATGCTCTGGGTGTCAAGGGAAATACAAGGATCTTGTTCTTACTCTTCCGGCTGCACTTTGGCAAAGGACACGTCACATAACTGAAGAGTTGCTCTAATATTATCTTTCCACATTGTTTTCAGTCCACCTCAGGTTCCAGGTCCCTCTCCTCTTTTCACATAACCTTTGTTTGGTATCATAATGTTCTCTCTCTAAATGGAGATGTCATTTTATTTGCTATCTTTGTGTGTAATTTAGTGTTCTATGGCAAATTTTTCTCATTCATGATTTTATCTCTTCTTTCAACTGATAAATCATCATTTCTCTGAGTGAAGCTAAACCCTATAGGACCACACATTGAGTAAGTAACACCCGAGACCCAAAGGGTCACTACTCAGATGATAATTTTCCAGGTACAGATCTCAGAACCATAAGGGTCTACAGATGGTTTTGACATAACCCAGCCTAAAGTTCTGGTTAGGTAAGGTAAGGTAAGGTAAGGTAAGGTAAGGTAAGGTAAGGTAAGGTAAGGTAAGGTAAGGTAAGAGAACTGTAAATCTGACATCTGGATAAATTTTTCCTCCTCACCTCAAGGCTCCTAGAAAAAAATGGGGAATTTTAACAGTTTTAAAAAAAAAAAAACAGCAAACTACTGAACATAACATAACTTAGCAAAACCACACAACGGGCAATAAATGCTTCAGCTGGTTTGTGATATCCGTCAAGGTGCAATTAACTTTTATCATACTTAGGAAATTACATAAACTTTTCATTAAAGTGCACTAAAAAAAAGGAAGAAAAAAAGACCAACCTTGATACAGCACCGAGACATATGAATAAAGGTAGCTGAGCTCGGCCGAGACTTCAAGGAGGCTTCGATGCCACGAAGGACATCATTGGTCTTCAACAGAAGCAGCATCTGCCTGGGCACTTTACCAAGAATGGAAGATATGTCCACCAGATAATGCCCTATGCCTTCTCGAATGTACTGTTGCTGGAGATAAAAATACAGATAGCTGAATTAACAGACATGGATTTGTTATCCTCATCAGCACCACTACGATTTTGCATCATCAACATCATCATGTAGCAGGTCCTTTACAGAACGTCGCTCTCATCACAGTCTGCCTGAAAGAAACTCGGTCTCTCACCAGCTCTCCCACCTTGAGTAATTTCATATTCCAGGAGTCACTTATAACCTGTGTCCATCTTCATGTCGGTCGGCCCCTGCCCCTCCTTCCTGGTACCATGCCTTTTGTTATTATTTTTTTCCAATCCACCATGGTGACTATAATATACAGTGGAATTTAGAGATACAAATTTAATCCATTCCCTGACTGAGCATGTATGGGAAATAACTCATTTTATGACGCTATTTTTTACCCATTATAATATAAATAACATTAATTCATTCCCGGTCTCCAAAAATCAAAAACAATTTGATGTTTTTAGTTTGGTTAACGGAGAAAATGTGTTGCACTGCTTTGTGTTTGTTTTGGAATACAGGGTTACTTCTGACTGTTATGTTACAGTCCCTCAACATAAAGTGCCTTGTCGACTGGCTTAAGTCCTTCAGCAATGTTAACGTGATCTAATCCATTTAAAAGTTACCAAGTTGCTGTTAGATAAGAGCAAACTTCTTATATCTCCAACATGCATCCTGGATTTTGCCTCATATTCTGGAAAGTGGGGAGGCAAACATTTTCTTGAAGCCTTATTGTGGAGGAAGCCGCCGTGGTCTAGCAACTAGACACTTATCTGCGGATCAAAAGGTCATGGGTTCGGTTCCTGATGAGGGGGGGGGGGGGTCAGGCTTTTTTAAAAAATGACGTTGGCCATCACCACTGGGAAGTAAAGGCGGCTGGAGTGATGCTGACCACATCACCCACTAAGTGCCGTTTGGTCTATAAAATAAAGGGGTGGAAAAGGGTCCTTTACTTTACTCGTTGCTTAGTGCAACAAAACCTAGCATATGATACCACATTTAGAATGGAGGTGGAGGCAGTCATTGCAGCCTTCCACTGGCTTCAGAACCAGCAGTACACACACATTGCTTCAGAGGTCCAGTACAGTTAGCATCCTGCGGCTATTTTCTCCAGGTTATTCCAGTGTATTGGGAAACGAACAGACAGACAGGCTGGTTCTATACCCCTTGGTGGTGAACTGATGTATGACAAGCTAGATGCTGTAAGGGTCCTTTGGGAGAGAGAGTGAACAGTGTAAATGCACAAATAGATCACTACAGTCTGAGGAGAATCGTGCCACAAAGAGTGATCAGGGAATCTGGCCGACGCTCAACACTCAAGGGAAAGGCAGATAAACAATCAGACCGTTAATCGTACCATCGGAACTGGAAATGTTCACTTGCTGCTAAAGATGGGGATGGAGCGCTTATGGGAGCATCCCAAGTGCTGTGATGATGATTGTTGATTCAACATTCATGCATCATTCAACACTGAGGCCTTGGGGAAGCGGTCTTACAGAAAAATCCTTAGTAGAATTCCTTGAACAGCCTGAAAAAGGCAACCCAGATGTTTTGAAAAAGGTAAGGGCTTGAAGTCAACTTATCACACACATCAGAAAGAGACAGTCATTCTGTTATGGTCATCATGGAAAAATCAGTGGAAAAAGAGATGGAGGAATACACTCGAGATGATTCTTGACAAGCTTCTTTCATGGCATGGAGGAGTGTCAACACATGAACTGATACATGTATTAAAGATCGCAGATTGTGGAGAGGTATGATCACCCACGCCAGTTGACAAGGCACTCGATGATGGTGATACTCCACACAAAACATTTTTGCATATGTTCAGTGTTACCTCTTCATTAGTGAGATCTCGTTTGTCTATCCCAGCTTGCAGAGATTCCCAGGAGCGTGCTGTGAGCATACAAGCAAAGAGAATATAGAGATCTCCAACATTCAAAGCCGTTGCATGCGTTTTCATGCCCTCTGTATCAGCATTAATCATGGCCATCCACATCTTACTGTAGTGCACTCGAAAGTCATCCGTCAGGGTCTTGCAAGAAACAAAATATCAAATATACAGAATTTTCAATACAGCTTTACTGAAGGCAATAGAAAAGGAAATTATTTTAAGTCTTAAAAACAAAACAAAATATAAAATATGCGGACACATGCAATACACTGCAAAATCTACTGCTAGGCATATTTCACATAACCTCATCAGGTGCATTACTAGATCATACCCAACCCCACCTATTAAAGAGTTCATGTCTCTGTACACCAAATCCAATTGTATTTATCAATCTACATGTAACTGCCAGTTGACTTACATCGATCGAACGAAGAGAGAGCTTGGAAGTGGAGTGGCAGAGCATATACCCAGATGGCTACAAGCATAGTTCAGTGATTCTTCAGGGGTGTCAAAACCAGTCAAGAGGAAAGAACCCACTTCTTCTGTAGGACATCATTGGCTTAATTCCAAACACGTAATTGACAAGAACAGTGCTTTCCATGTGGTTTGACACACACTGAAAAGGCGAATGTTAAGAATGGCTGAAAGCTTTAACAATTAAAATCAGTCACCCCCTCCTTTGTAAGCAGATGGAATTTATAGCAAATTTGAAGTTACCCTGGTAAGTTATGTGATTGTAGTGAACTTCCGGTGACTAGACAATTATGATGCATCGAAAGAAAACTCTTCGCATTTCAGTTGGATTTGTTCAGTTTTTGTGCTTCATTTTATGTTGATGTAACTCTGTAGTAAAGCACCTGATGAGATACGGCAAAACATGCTTAATTTCTTCTTTATGAAGGCTGTGGTGCAAAGCACGTCTTCAACTGATCCATACAGCTTGTTCTCTATAGGAATTTGAAAACAATGTTTTCCCATTGTAAATTTAAATAGTGCAGACACAAACAACACATTGCACAATTTATTGCCTGACATATTTTGATTTTATGTAAACAGAAAGATCATGTGATTTATTTGAAATTACCATGGTAATCATGTGACTGATTTTGAATTTCGGGTGGATAGATGTACATCAACTCGACAATGTGGTTTATGCATTTCAGCAAGAAAAAAAGATTCCTTTTGTGCTTGTTGATTTAACTCTGTAGTAATCTACCTGATGAGATACAGCGAAATATGCCAGCCAATAAACTGTGGAATTCTATATTCTACAGGAATGTCAACTGGCCAGATCATGGATCTTTCTACTGGAGGTAGAGAACATGTCTGTAGCACATGTTGAGATTTCTGGAATGCTTGTCTACATAAGAACAGTTCTGAGTCCCCAATTTCACATGTTCTACACATGTGGCTGAGAGTCTGTTGTGTCCAGGTTGCAGTCTAAATATAATGGTCTTTATTGTCATATGAGGCTGACTGGGTCTTTCGGATCATGTTCTGGATGGAAATGTTCCAATCAGTTCTAACAGATTCATGATCTGGATTTTATTCTCCTCATAAGTGCAACCTACGTCTGGATGTTCTGTACAGCACCCCAATTTTTGTCAAGTAGTCTGCTTTTCATGCCTATACTATACAAGGCATATACCAAAAGAGGAGAGGGACATAGAGCAAGAGGTAGACCAAGAATAAGATGGAAAGATAACAGCAGAGAAACTCTACAGCACCACGATGTGTCTATTGTTAACCAGCCAGAAGAGCACGAAGCAGGACCTTATATCTTCTTCGACACCCGAAGCGGTAAAAGAGAACGTAAAGAAGAAGAAGTCTGCTCTCTTATTTCTTGAATTATAACTCCTTTAATCTGATCTGATTCAAAAACCGACATCACATCACTCAGGACATTCCCATAAGCACTCCATCCCCATCTTCAGCAGCCAACGCAGAGTTCTAATACCAATGGTGCCAGTAGCAGTTTGATTCAGACTAATCAACAAGCAAATCAAAACTGACACTTTCAAAAGAAGAATGTTAAGATAAAACTGTCAGATTCTCCTGCAAGTCCTCCCTACCTGGTATAAGCCGTGGTCGAGTAAAATAATCTGTGGACCATCCTTGGTGTTCTTAACTAGAACATTGCCTGGATGCGGATCACAGTGGACGTAGCCCTTCACAAATATCATTTCACTGTAAAGATGGCCAAGTCTTTCAGTTACCTTCAAAGAGACCAAATATTGTGCATGTTTCTTCATTAGGAATACAGGTGCTGAAACATTCAATCTGTCATCATCATCACTTATTTCCACTTCTGACATTAAGCATTGTGGGGAGGAATAGTTTGCGATTCATTGCTTGATGGGCAGCAATGACAACTGTCATTCTGTGTCGATGTAAAAGCTCTTTAATATTATCAATCCATGTTCTCATAGGGCGACCTCTTGCTTTCACTTTAGATCTTTTATTGTGAAGTGCCTGCGTTGCTAGTTGTTCTCGCTGCATTCTTACTAAATGACCAACTATCTGAGCTTCTGTTTCTCAATGAATTTGCTGCATGGTTTTGTTCCCAGTCTGTCTAATAATAACTTTGCCTCAGGTGGTTAAGTTGGCGGCTTTTCTCAGGCATCACATTTTGCAGGTGTTAATTTTAGGTAGGTCAGCCTGTGATAATGTCCAAGTCTGACACTAGTAACACAAAGTGTTGGTATGATTATGCTGTTTATAATCTGTTTCTTGGCGCTCATTCTTATGTTTGGATGTCTGTAACTCTGCCAAACAATATACATTAAATGGGGAAACTATATACATTAGAAAAGGCAGGGAGTGGTCTGGGTTTTCTTTTTTTTTCCACAGTACAGCTTTGTCCATGTCTGTGGTTTAAGGGTTATGAATGCAGTTTATAATTCTGCCATACCAGGTTTGAGTCATCTGCAGTTTACAGTAGAATCTGATAACCATGCGAGTGCCGAGCAGTTCAGTAAGCAACAGTACTACTGAACATAAGATTAGCAAGTAAAACCACAAACAGCCATGCTATCTGTCAGGGTTACAACTCTATCACAAATAGGTCTAACCCCCCAACTGCTCTAGTTCTGTTGACAGTGAAAACCATACAAAATCCCCACTGCTGTCTTATGTGAAAAGTCAAACAGACAACAGTTCTGGCAGCCTGCACACATGTCAAACACGTAAGGCAGCCACCAGACATACCAAAACCTGCAGTCTATTACCAGAATTGTTATTTATAGTTGATGGAAGTAGCAGTCATGATAAACCAGCAGGTGCACATGCTTTACTGCATAAAGCACAATGCCTGTTCAGTGGCAACCAGCAGTTATCTATTTCTGAATATGTAGTTTACAGCACACATCTCCAAGAAGCATTCCCCATGAAATTCACAACTCACAGTGTCCCATCACGCACCCAACTCAGGAGCTAGCTGACTGGACCAGGTTTTAACTTCTAATAGTGTGTTGTTCCCTGCATTTTCCCATTGGGAGAATGAAAATCCAACCTTTCACAGATTAGGGGGCAGAATAGGGTCCATTCACCATCTGAAGGTGAAGTAGGCTTGAGCAAGAGCGGCTAAGAGACATTAAGAGTCTTGTATTGCACATCACTGCTCCATTAATTCATTTTCCTCTTGTGCATCTCCACTCCCTTCTAGTAAATGCAATCACTTCCACATAATGGGAGTCGTTGTGGCGTAGTGGCTAGATGTTCGCCTGCGGATCGGAAGTCAGTGGGTTTGCCCCCCGACAGAGCCAGACTTTTTTCAAGAATGAACTTGGCTCCCAGGTCGACTCAGCCTTGAGTGGGTACCAGGTGCAATCCTGGGAAGTAAATGCTGACATCACCCATCTTGTGCCGTTGGTCTATAAAATACAGGTCTAGCCCTATATACCTAATACGCCTGAAAGGCCTGGAAAAGGGTCCTTTACTTTACTTCCATTTAATGGATTGAATCCAAATCAGCAGCTCTGACTTCTTTCATCAATGTTCACCTTAGGGTTTCTTCTGGATGTCCGTGTTTCCACAATCCTTATTTTTCCCGTTCCAGTGCCTGTTAACTGATTCTCTGTTCATCTCTTCTCAGACTGTGTTGAATATAGTCTCATCTTCTCTGTCTCATCACAACTGCTGATACTAGTGGTTGCTTATACATTTATCTCATTCCTTTATCCTTTTTTATGTATATCATTGCTCCATAAGGACCATCCCCCCCCCCCCTCCCACAAAACAGCCAATGCTGAAGACGGTTTGTGATATTCTGTATAAAAGTATGCAACCAACTACCTTTTAACTTCAGCACAGTTCTGATGTCGTCCCAGAATTAAAAAAACATGCTGAGGGGCCAAGAACTGGCTGAATGAAATTAATTACCAGTCCAGCATCATTTCCATACAAAGGATTGAATCCCATCCAGCAGCTTTGGCTTCTTTCATCAAAACAAGCCAATACTCCAGTAATGGCTGAACAAAACAGGAGGTGCACTCAGATAGAAGAAACTATAGTACCCACAACAGGACCAAGTCCCAGACCTGGACGAGCAGGAAAGGACACCACTATAAACAGACAGAGACACTAAGTAAGACACACGAGAACAATTTTAGCCAACAAAGTTGGCACAAGAAACAAAAGTCCCAGTTATAACAAAAAGATCTCTTTTCAAAAGGGGCTGGCTGTATGTGATGACTTTTTGTTTTCTTCTCCCAAAATCAGATAGACAGATAGATGCCTGAAAGGAACTTCCCTTTCTCGTCAGCTCTACCATCTTGAGCATTTTCCTACCCGAGGAGTCACTGATATCCTGTGCCCATCTTTGTCCTGGTCAGCTGCTGTCCCTCTTTCTGATATTATTTTTCCAATTCACCATAGCGCTTGATATGGCCAAATTTGTCAGCATAAGGACACCAACAACATAGTAAAAGTAAAGGACCCTTTTCTACGCCCTCAGGCGTATGGGACATTTAGGGCTTGACCTATATTTTATAGACCAATTGACACACCGGCCACCTTTACTTCCCAGGACTGCACCTCATGCCCACACAAGGCTGGGTCAACCTGGAAGCCAAGGTCATTTTGGAAAAAACGTCTAGCTCCGCCAGGAGCTGAACCCACAACCTTCCGATCTGCAGGCGAGCGTCTAACCGCAACACAACAATATAGTACACAAGTTCATATCTGGCATATTTCACTCTATCTTGCCAGGTGCATTACTACAGATTTTACATCATCACATTCTGAAGCACAGTCCATTAAAATGCAATGCACAAAACACATCGTCTGTTGTTACACAGTAAATCTCAATACAGAAGTCTAACAGTAATTATGTGATCCTTCTGTTTACAAAATGCAGGGCTGCCACTGCTTATGTCAGTTTTAATAAAGGCCCGTCTGGTGTATGATAAATAACTTGGAAGTCTAGTTTACCCAACTAAATATTCAGAACTGGGTGACTGAAGTCAGTCAGAAGTCTAGTTCACCAAACTAAATATACAGAATTGGGTGACTGAAGTCAGTCAGAAGTCTAGTTCACCAAACTAAATATACTGAATTGGATGACTGAAGCCAGTCAGAAGTCTAGTTTACCAAACTAAATATAAAGCATTGGGTGACTGAAGTCAGTTATAATTCTAGTTTACTAAACTAAGTATACAGAAGTGGTTGAATAAAATGAGTTACAGTCTAGCTCAGGAAACTACACAGAACTGGTCGAATGAAATCAGCAATAAATCTATTCATAATAATTAAGTTCACAGACCTGGTTGACTGAAATATTGTGTTCCTTCATGTAGTCAACATCATTGACTTTGCCACCATCACAGAACTCCATAGTCAGCACTCTGTCAGACGACAGCTCCCAAAATACTTTTGGTACCTGCAACGAATGTACACAAATGTTTAGCTAGGCGTAACATTGTTGTTTTGTTGGCTCTAGAAAACCCTCACATACAGAAGCAATGAGAATACAAAGTAATAAACAGGACAGAATTATATGAACAGCAGACGTTAACGGGTCATAATATCTGCCTTACACATCATGGGATATGTATACAATCCTTTTCATAACTTGTTAAAAGAAAATTAGAAAACAAAAATGTAGCCTGCAGGCTACAGAAAACAATACCACTGGCACTAATTGATGGTCAAAAACTGACCCCATGACCTCCAGAACATGAGGGAAATGACTTGGTCATCTTGCCACAGAGATCTCTAATTATCTGCCCATCTCGTCTGGTTGAGGTGACTCATGACACAACACAATCATAAAAATCCTAACCTCTAAACAAGACAAACATATAGAAGTTTTTACTATTCTCACAAATAAAAATGTAGAACTGACCTTCAGAAACTTGAATTTAGACAATATTTTAGCAATTCTCTCACAGTTGCGGCCTTCATTCAAGAAGTCCAGTTCAACTGGTAGGTTTCTTTTGGTTTCTTCCGCCAGCCAGACATAAGCAAACTCTGGAAACAACCACCCAGCAGCATGGACTAACACCTAAAAAAAAAAAAAAACTGTTTCAATACACAGCATCTTGTCCTATCAACATAGCTAAGAATTTCTTTACATTATCATCAACACTACATTTAAACCAGCGCCCTGAAATAATAACTAAAATTCCACACCCCTTCTTCTTCTTTCGTTCCACACCCCTTTTTGAATTTACCCCAGTACTTGCCCTCCAGCACTCTCTTTGTGTTGTTTTTTTTTTCCTGTCTCAGTGTGTTAACAAGATAACAAAGTCTTTCTTCCCACTGTTAGGACCTCTTTAAAAAATGGCATTTTCCCCACACTCTGGTCTCAATGGTTGGTGTTTCCTTGGGGCAAGCTTACCAAATGCATGAGGGTTAGCGGATCTCTACCACTGCAGGTCCAATTTGTCCAGCTGAGAGCATAATTTGAAGACTAATTCCAGTAAGGCAATATTTCTAGTCAGGCACAATTCCCATGGCAGGACAGTTTTTATAATAAAGTAAATTTCCCTTCAGAGGGCAACGGTGTCCTCAGAGAGGCACTGGTTTCCTCAGAAAGATGCCAGTTTCCTGAAAGAGGCATCAGTTTCCTCAGAGATGCACTAATTTCCTCAGAGAGGCATCAGTTTCCTCAGAAAGGCACTAATTTCCTCAGAGAGGCATCAGTTTCCACAGAGAGGCACTAATTTCCTCAGAGAGGCATCAGTTTCCTCAGAGATGCACTAATTTCCTCAGAGAGGCATCAGTTTCCTCAGAAAGGCACTAATTTCCTCAGAGAGGCATCAGTTTCCTCAGAGAGACACTAATTTCTCCAGAGAGGCATCAGTTTCCTCAGAGAGACACTAATGTTCCTCAGAGAGGCATCAGTTTCCTCAGAAAGGCACTAATTTCCTCAGAGAGGCATCAGTTTCCTCAGAGAGACACTAATTTCCTCAGAGAGGCATCAGTTTCCTCAGAGAGGCACTAATTTCCTCAGAGAGGCATCAATTTTCTCAGAAAGGCACTAATTTCCTCAGAAAGGCATCAATTTCCTCAGAGAGGCACTAATTTCCTCAGAGAGGCATCAGTTTACTCAGAGAGGCATTAATTTCCTCAGAGAGGCACTAATTTCCTCAGAGAGGCATTAATTTCCTCAGAGAGGCACTAATTTCCTCAGAGAGGCATCAGTTTCCTCAGAGAGGCGCCAATTTCCTCAGAAAGGCTTGAGCTTTCTCACAGAGGCACCAGTTTCCTCTTTAAGGCACAAGTTTCTCCCCATGAACCACCACAATGATAAATCAACACAGCAGTTTACATATGAATATTTATGCTAACATACAAGTACTCATCTCTAAATGACTGTGATATCTTGCACCTTTCGGCCAAACACATCTGATCTCAGCAAACCCTAATTGTTTATGATATACTTGTCACACACAGAGAGAGAAAACGAGAGAAAGAGAGAGAGAAAGAGAGAGCTGCTTACCTCCATGGTTCTGATATCAGCAGTCGACCGAGCTTTAACTTTTGGATGCTGTATCTTTACAGCAACAATCTGGCCATCAGCCAGCTTTGCTTTATGGACCTGAGCCAATGAGGCAGCACCTAGAGGTTCTGGATCGAACTCCACAAACATATCTTCCACCTGTAACATATTTCAGCACATGATTAGAGGATCATTCATGCATAAGTTGTCACCATCACCACCATGTGCCATACAGAAAAGTGCAGGCTGTCAAGTTTTGCCATCTCTCAAATGATCCCCACAATCATGGATTAGGCCAGTGTTATTGTCTAACCTTTTCCAAATATTAGTCTTTTTGCCTTCCTCTTGGTCTTTTTCCATCAATCTTGCCAGTTGTTCTCAAGTCCACTACTCAGGACATGTCCGAAAATTACCAACTATGTCTAACTGTTCTAATTTGTTTATGACTTTTATCTGTCTTTCCGAGGACTGTCTCCTTGTCTCCTTTGTTTTCCTATCATTCCAGGTGCACATCATTACTTCAGGTGAATAAACTTCAATTATCTGCTAACTAACATTGTAATTATGTAAACATCTTCTTCGTAGCGTTCACCAGCTGTAAACTCCAGTACAAAGTTCAGGCTGTTCGTCCATTTCTTGATTTTCATGTTGTTCCAAAAGTTGAGATTTGTATTCACATACATTTTACAGATATTGATCATTTGTATGCAAATTGTAGGTTCCTCGCCTTTCAGGCAGATGCATTCTGACATTCATTTTACAGATCTAGTTTATTTGTATGCAGACTGTTGGTTCCTCATCTTTCAGGCAGACGCATTCTGACATCCATTTTACAGATCTAGTTTATTTGTATGCAGACTGTTGGTTCCTCATCTTTCAGGCAGAAGCATTCTGACATCCATTTTACAGATCTAGTTTATTTGTATGCAGACTGTTGGTTCCTCATCTTTCAGGCAGACGCATTCTTACATCCATTTTACAGATCTAGTTTATTTGTATGCACTCTGTTGGTTCCTCATCTTTCAGGCAGACGCATTCTGACATCCATTTTACAGATCTAGTTCATTTGTATGCAGACTGTTGGTTCCTCATCTTTCAAGCAGACGCATTCTGACATCCATTCTACAGATCTAGTTCATTTGTATGCAGACTGTTGGTTCCTCATCTTTCAGGCAGACGCATTCTGACATCCATTCTACAGATCTAGTTCATTTGTATGCAGACTGTTGGTTCCTCATCTTTCAAGCAGATGCATTCTGACTTTGGAGAAAAAAAAACAAATAAGTTGCCTTTTATGACATGCTACTTAGGGAGCAGTGGGTCTACCACCTTCCCCCCCCCCCCCCCCCCCCACTTCCCAAATGGGGCCCAGGAACTCAAACAGAGAATTATTTAAATATATAATAGTACTATTTTCGGAAGCGCAAGAATATTAAAAACTACTTTTCGGAAATAGAAACCAAAACCAAATTATTATTTACTGTTACTTTGTGTTAGTTTGACTATTAATTCACAAATGTTGTTATATATGTTAATTAGGTTATTTCTGGAAGAGAAAAATGCCCAGTAATGCCCACCTGTATTAAAAGAGATTTTTAATGTTATGATTGTTATTGTGAATGTCCAAGCTGGTCATCTCTTACCACCAAGGTGTTATCTGGCCCATGTGGAAGCAGAACACTTTATGGTTTCAACTGGACATTAACCTTGACCTGGGACTAAAGGAGTTAAAGGTCTCGACCATTGGATTATTATACATAATAAACATGTACTGATCAGCACTCGGTAAGAAGAAGAAAGAAAGGACACACTAGACAACACAAAAATTGAAAGCTGGCAGGAATCCAGCTTGTCACATCCAAATGATGAGGGCACCACGCAGAAGAAACAAGTGTATTAAGACACATGATCAACTTGCTAGGCTCCCCTTTCCCCAAGGGTATTCAAGAGCCAGCCACGTATTTTGTACAGCTGGAATCCACAAGTATGGAAAATAGAATTTGATTCTAACCATTTAAATGGCAACTTAGGTTACAGACATTCATCTTAACCAAGCATAACATAGGTCAAACAACAAACATAACATCAGACTGTACTGCTGTGTCTAGAATACAACAAACATTCAAGGAAGCCTGTTTCAGTACCTGTCCTTTTGTTCTTTACAACCTATGGTTTCCCCACAGAAATGTACGCATGTACAAACCCACATACCTGTTGGCCTAGGTCCTCACGTATGACACTTTTAAGCTCTTCTAAGTCTGAACGAGGTGCTTGGTCATACAAAACCTTCATGGTGTCCACATACTCTTTGGGCAGGAGGTACTCTAATGAACCCAGATGTTGGCCGACTTTGATAAACACGCCTCCGTTTTTACAACACATGGTCCGCAGGCGAAGGGCCGAGGCCAGATGGAGCTGTTCCAAGGTAAAATGTAGATGTCTGGGTTCTTCAGCATCATAAAAAAAAAAAAAACTTTGAACTGAACTTCACAACAATCACTATTCTGTGGGTTTTTTCTTATGTTTGATTTGTTATTGTGAATGTACTAGCTGCGTATTACAGGATGCCTCTGCCTGTGTAGGTTTCGGGGAGGCCGTGGGAAAATCTATCAGACTGATAGATTAGCTTCTGCCGCTCCTCTGAGCGGTGAGCTACTTTATGACAAAGTGGTTATGGTGAAGGCTCTATGGGATCAAAGGGACAGTGCAACAGAACAGATCAAGAATTCCTACACCTCACCTGATTCAACCGGGAAGGGGGGTGCAGAGGTATTGGAAGATATTCAACATTCAGGGGAAAACAGAGGCAAGTTTTTAATTAGGTTGCAGCTGGATCATCAATATGTCAACTCTTCTGCATTTCTGTGTGTTTGTCCACTTCTGGATCTTGGTCTAGTATTTGAGTTTTGCATGCACATCCATTTGATAGATCTGGCTTAGTTGTATGCAGACTGTCGGTTCCTTGCCTCTCAGGCAGACGTACTCTAAGGTAAGGGAAAAACCCCTAATTAGTCCCCTCCTATGACATGTTTATTGGGAGGATTCTTTGTTCTCCAAAACGGAGACCCAGAGCTCACGGGGGGACAGTCTGTATTGAAGGAGACTATTAACTGTATGGTTCATCATTATCACTTTCCACTTCTGCCATTAAGCGTTGTGGGGAGGAGCAGTTTGCAATCCATTGCTTGATGGGCAGCAGCAATAGCTACTGTCAATCCTTGTCAATGTAGAAGCTCTTAACATCATCAATCCATCTTCTTCTAGGGTGACCTCATGCTTTCACTTCAGATCTTTTCATGTGTAGCGGCTGCGTTGGTAGTTAGTTGTTCTGGCTGCATTCTTACTAAATGACCAAATCATTTGAACCTCTGTTTCTCAATGAATTTACTGCATGATGTTCTTCCTACAGTCTGTCTGATAATATCATTTCTAACTTTGTCTCAGATAGTTATGTTGCCAGCTTTTCTCAGGCATCTCATTTCACATGTGTTAATTTTACGTAGGTTACAATTAGCCTGACACTGGTAGCACAGTGTCGGCACAAATATGGTGTTTATAATCTGATTCTTAGCGCTCATACTTATGTTTGGATGTCTTACTAATGGTGTCAGCTGGTTTATATATTATGGAGGAAATGGTATGGCCACTGATTGATATCTGCTAGAAAATGTATACTACTTTAATGAATTAAACTAAGGCTGATACACTCTATACTCACATTGTGCATTCGTTCTGCATATTCTGGATGTGACTTCTCATATTTATGAAAGAATAATTTGTAATCTGCTGCAATCCTTATTGTCTGTATGTACAAAAAAAAAAAAAACCGAACAAAACATATTTGCTACCTCAAAAAAATGTATGCAGTGTAGATTTTAAAAAAAATATTAGGTTCACAGGTATTGAATCCCAAGCTAAAAACTGGGAAAGGACAGGGTAAATGGTGCCCCCTTCCGAGATGACCCCTATTCATCCAGCATGAATTGCGCCCAAACAGTCAACAAAAATTTGATGTGGGTAGCGGCAAACTACATTACGGCAATATGCCTCTCTGCTGGTACAAAAGGATACACTTTAAAGTTACTGCGTACAAAAGGTTGTCTTAATCCGTCCTTCTTTTCTTTTACTTCTTATTCGTTTACCTCCTCTTCTTTTCGTATCTTTTATCAACTTTGTTTTCACTGATCTTGTCCTCTGTGTTTTATTTCATTCTGAGCCTATAAAGTTTAAAGCTGCAGATATCCCCCACCTCCATTCATCTCTGTGACTGCCTTTATCTTTCCAGCTGGTGACACCAAGTGTTTGCAGGTATGCCAGTATATTATCTCTCAATCATCTTCTTGGTCTACCACATGGCCTAACTGTTCAATGTTGAATTAGGAATCAACATCACAGCATTCAGGACACTCCCATAAGCACTCCATACCCATCTTCAGCAGCAAGCAAAGAGGTCTAATTCTGATGGCACCAGTAACGTCTGATTATATGTCCGTACTGCCTTTTCCTTGAGTGTCAGTCTGATCCCATTGTAACTCCTCGCAGCGCCATTCTCCTCAGACAATAATGATCTATTTGTGTGTGCCTCTTCACTGTTCCTTCACTCCCAAAAGGCCCTCACATCTAGCTTGTCATACATCAATTCACCACAAGTGGTGCAGAGCCAGCCAGTCTAACTGGTTGCTCGTTTTTCAACACTGGCATAACCTGGAGAAAATATCAAAAGGATGCTAACTACCAGGAACTTCTGAAGCCAAACTTGCCACTTTCCATGGAGCATGCCTGTCTCCACTTTTCTCAACATGCTCTGAGAGTAAGTTACAATTACGACATGTGTGTACAGGTGATTCTCAAGCCAGAGGAAGGCAGCAGTGACTGCTTCCACCTCCATTCTCACATAAGATGTACCACATGGTCTATTTCTACTCAATTTTATTGTGTACAGTCTCTGTTATTAAAATTTTACTGAGTTATTTAAAAAATGTAAACAAATTTTAATGCAATGTGCTAAAAATAATAATACTCATTCTTACAGTTATTGCTGCTCGTCCAAATCGGACAACTCCGAAGGAATTAGCATCATAATGAGTATCTGCATAGACAGCACCAGCTGTAAAACCTGAGGCTACGAGTGTCAGCTTAGTTAGCAATCTGACAACCATTTTCTGTCAGTCTGCAGAAAAAAAAAACCACTGAACATATAAATCAAGTAAATCTACTGAATTAAAGCTTGCGAGATGATTTGCCTGAAAAAACCGCCAATCTAACCATCCAAGATCAAGTAAATAATGACACTATCAGAAGACTGTAAGAATATATCTTGTACTAGATGCGAGAAACAGCAGATCAAGTGGCTTGGCCATATTGTTGAAATGCGGCAACATCAAATACCATCACAGGCACTAGATCCCAGAAGATCAATTGCAAGAGGACAGTCCCCAAAAACATGGATTGACAACATTAAAGACACTTCACACCTTGAGAGCTTGACAACAGCCGGTGTCAGCCAGCGTGCACTAGATCGCAAATTGTTCCTCCCCATGATGCTTAATGGCAGAAGTGGTTTATGATGATGACTGAATTTAAGAAAACACTGGAACTGAATTAACTGACTTTTCCCTGTTCTGGGCTTCTACATAAAGGTCTGACACCCTGGTGACAAGATGAGCCGGATCTTGTATGTTAATTCAACAGGACAAGTCCAAAATAGCATATACATCTTAAGAAGTTTATTAAAGGACATGAAAATATTACAAATAAGAAATTACTAATAACTCTAGACAACCAAATCCAGAAAAATCAAGATTAAGCTGCAGGGTTCCTTTCAAAAGATGACTGTACTAAGTTCCAGTCTAAAAGTCACTCAGTCTCTATTGGACATCACCTTCAGTTCATGAGTCATTTATATTTTACCTCCAGCTATAATTATTGTTACCTTCTTCCTTTCAAATCACTATAACACAGATAAGACTATGAGCACCATTCAGTGCTCTATCATTTTGATCACACAGGTACTATTTCTCTAATCCCTCTCATTTGATGGCACTATATTAACTCTTTGAGTCCCAGGGGGACAAGTGTTAACACATTAAAACACACCATATTAATTCAGCTGCTCACAACATATACATTAAAGTGACCAGGAATTGTTAAGGAGTAATTTTAAAATACTGCTATAACAATAAATTGTGTTAGAAGTTGATTATCAGTAAATAAACAGATGGTATGTTTAGAGAAAAAAAAAAAAAAAGTAAAAAGAAATAATAATTTTTTCCACACACTACTATGGCACTCAAGGAAGCTTGATAATAATAATAAGAAGAAGAACTCCACAAGGGAGCATACACACATCAGGAGCTTTACTAATCATCATCCTCTAGCGACTTTCTCTTAAGTTTAACATTAATAGCCTTACATAAATTACTTTCCAACTTGGCACCATGACACCCTATCACTTGCGGGTGGAAACTTGATCTTTGTCCGCACTTCGTCAGAGATCAGCAAAAGTGCGCCTCCATGAAAGACGTTTGGGCCTCTCCGGGAGAGTGGGTTTCACAGTGCTCGACGCTCCCTGCCGATTTATGCGCTACCGAAGTAGCCTTGCGCCGGCACTAAATACATGGCAAACCTTTACATTTCATCCTTCTGGCATGCGTTCTCAGACCATGCTCCCCCAGGAAGCTTCTTCCACAGTTACATTGCCAGCCCGGTCATGGGGTAACCTTTATGGTCCGGAGGCATGTGGGGTTCAATAATGTTGGAATTAGTCTGAGTGGGTCCTTCATTCTCCCTCCCTTTCGGCGGATCCTGAGGGCATATTTCATTATTGGCTTTCAAAATCAGAGTATTTATACTGAATTAAGGGTGATCAACCCAGTCTTCCGTCGACCCACTATAAACAGAGGGCCAGTTTTCACACAGGTGCTGCCGGGGTGCCAGTCTTTCTAGAGTGCCAAAAGGTCTTGTGGACTAACCATGTACAATAAGAATAACTCCACAGGGGAGAATGCAAAGCGGGAGTTTACCGAATCATCAGTAAAAGGGTATCACATCAACAATTGTGTCGGCCCAATAACCTCCTATACAATAAAATATATCAAAAACAAATCACAAATAAACATGAACCACTTAGTAATGTTCAAATAAAATATAAACACAATCTGTCCATTAGATATTGTTCCAGAGAAACTTTCTGAACATCATAACAGAGCAAAATTTTTTGGTAAAGAAAAATGACCTCCTAAAACAACTAGTATTTTCATAAAAAAATGAACTCTATATAACACTCAATTTGCCCGTAATTTCATAGCCTATGTTTCTAAATAATAATGAAATCCCACTAGACTTAATTAACACTGAAGAATATTGCACTTTTTCACTAACATTTGTTCTCTTTGTACCAGCAAATTTTGTTACCGCTGTATGAGGTACACATTAGAGCTCTCCCTCATCAAAGTTTTGACTTTACCAAAGATTAAAACACATCTACTTCATAACTTTCTTTGTCTAGCTTCTGATATATCTGATAAACATGTGTTTTATTTAAAACTTAGGCTTCTAAAGCGACAGATCATGTTGGCAAGCACGAAGAAGTCTGCTCCGATGGCCATTTTGTTTTCAACAGACAGTAACTCAACTTGGTAAAGCTTTCAAACATACTATATAATATGCTTTTAACCATATTTTCAAATAAATCCAATGGTCAACACATGTGCCATCAAACATAAAGAACATGAAAGACCATTCAATACTGCCGATTTGCATTTGTATACTGGCCAGTGGTAAATCAATACCTGCACACGTCACGCACTGACTGGGCGGCTGGGTAGTAACTAATTAGCATGTGATGCGTTCCTTGGGACTCAAAGAGTGAAGGTTCTCTATAACCTACTGCCTATGCACTTCTGTATTACAACTCTATAACTACTGATCACCCACACAACTGGTTATGTTGCATTTGCTACTCTAGCTGAAATGATAATAGTCGTGATATGGTTGTCCTCCACAACTTGCTATGCCACTCCTTTCTAGCGAACCTCTATTTATTCACACATTATTGGGTTACTGGTATTCATAGAGACTTACTATACCTTGCTTTCATGAGACAAGCAATATATAGTCAGTTATGTTGGTAATCTATAATAAATATTGGGAAAATAGGGTGCTTCAGAGTGGTGGGGGCGCATATACCTTGTTTATGTGTGCAATAATAATCATAATGTGCAGAATGGCAAATAAATATATTTGAAATAAACATTTACAAATAACCTCCCATACAAGGTTAGGGTGTCACTAAGACACCTTGAAAACTGTCTGCTGGGAGAGGAACAGGGGGGTGTTTAAGGTGCCAACAAGCCTTCAGGTTTTGTTAACCTGCAGGTCAGTGACTTAAGGGTCTTCGTTATCAGTGCAGTTTCAAAGCAGACCACTTGACTTTGGCAAGAGAATGTGAGCGTCCTATCTTTCACAAAGCAACAGAAAACTAAGTGCCCAGTAAAACCACAACAGTCAACAAAACCTCGGATTATTTTACGACATCCTGTAAAAGTGTTCTTATGGACATGACTTCTTGACTTATATCAATATAATCCAATGTTCGACTGTTTGCTGATTTTTTTTTTCTTTACTTTTCCTGTCTGCGAAATTGTCATAATTCTGGAACTGTCCTGGTGATTTCATGTGCACATATTAAAATTGAAGGCTATCCTCCGACTAACGGTACGCAAAGATGGCGGCAGCAAAAGATATTTTCGAGCCACAGTTGCGTGTCAATAGTGCACTAGCGGTCACGGCTGCTGCTCGTGGGGTTTCCGCCATCTAGTTTAGCCCTCGTGTACATTTCCCAACACGCCGATCCAAGCCAAAAAAATCCAGACAGTTTAGCCCATTGTCCTCCGCAGCGAAACATGCCACTCTGCAAGAAGCGGCGTGTTCTGACACTTTCTCGGTGGCTTTCCCAGTCGCAGCCAAAGTTGCGTGTCAATTAAGTCACGCGACACCACCATTGCTTGAAAGGGTATAGCCATCTAGTTTAGCCCCCAACGCTGTGAGCGACCGTGGGGACACCTGAGGATAGCCAGGCCAAACTCGCAGGATTACCGCAAATTGTCACGCGACTGTGGCTAGAAAGGATATTTTGCGGCCGCCATCTTTGCCGACCGTTAGTCGGAGGATAGCCAAGCTGAATGTTTAAAAAAAACTTATGAGCTTACGACGTTACGCATGAATGTTAGTCCGAAACAGTAACTAAGCTGTATATGTGTCAGACAACATCGTTCGCACCGGCATCTCAAAAACGTCGTACACGACCCTGGTATCTTTTAATACTGAACAACGGACAAACTGCTGCCTTCTGCTAGATACAAGATACGACAAAGTCAAGTCGGGTATTGATTGAGAAACAACAACATGCGTGGTCTCCCTTGTTTCGTACTAATTCCCATTCGTATCATACATTCGATTTGATTGATTTGATTCAAGAACCCACATCACAGCACTCGGGACATTTCCATAAGCGCTCCGTCCCCATCTTCAGCAGCCAGCGTAGATTTCCGATACTAATGGTGCCAGTAGCATTCTGATTAAACGTTCGTCTTGCCTTTCCTCTGAGCCTCGAGGATCTGCCACAGAACCTCTCGTCACTCCCTGCTGCATCAATCTCACCAGACTGGTGATCCATCTGCTCCTCCGAACTGTACACGCTCTCCTACAAGGCACTAACCACGTCTGCCTTATCATGCATCAGTATTCCACTAAGTTGTGCAGAGTCAGCCAGTGTGTCCACCTGTACATTTCCCAACACACCGACGTTGCCCGGTGAAAAATCTAGACAATACTCCTCACCAGTGTCCTCCGCAGCGAAACATGCCACTCTGCACGAAAGCATACCTGTTTTGATCTTCCTCAGCATGCTTTCCGAATCAGGTACAATCACGATATGTGTGTGTGTGTGTGTTTGTGTGTGTGTGTGTGTGTGTGTGTGTGTGTGTGTGTGTGTGTGTCGTGTTCTCTAGCCAGCGGAAAGCTGCAGTGACCGCCTCCACCTCCATTCTTAAGCTGCATGATGTGGTATCATATGCTAGGCTCTCCTGCACCAAACGTCGACCACTAACTTTTGCTAAGAAGCCCCAAGCACTTCTTTTGCCCCTTGAAACTGAACCGT